AAAGCCCAAGCCAAAACAAATTCCCAGCCTCTGGATGGCACATGCGCAGTCCGTCGCTGCAAGGATGGCTGTCTATGGCTGCACTTGCCGCACAGTGGGTGGTATAGGTTACCGGGTGGCAAGGACAAACAGAGGGTGCTCTTTAGTCTGGAATAGAGCAAAATAAACATCCACACATGTGAACACATGGCTTTCTTCACAAAACATTAGCCAGGGATCCCGAGATCTTGCCTGACTATCACAATGCAAGTCTCATCTCTCTCTCTCTCTCTCTCTCTTCGCAAACAACTAACATAAATAACAAAAGCAATAAAGTTTCCCTCTTGGGCAACGTGAGTCAACAAATCCATTTCTGAAATTGAATCGCTTCGTTTGTTTAGTTTCTTGTGGCGAAATCTGGCAAATTTCGGCAAACAGGAGAAAGGCAATACAATCGCAGCTACGAAAGGGAACGACTTCCTAAAAGGCAAGCAAGACGAAGATAAACGGAACATGGGATCCCACTAACACCGGGAATCAATATCTATTGAAAGCCTGAATCTAACTGCTCCCATTGCTTCCAAGCGAAAAATAAAGAAGAGAATGCCGGAGAATATAGAAAAGCATATTCACACAGTGTTGTGCGTGACGAAGGTTGTCGCTGCACGACTTGGGTATCGCTGATAAAGCAAATTCAAAAAGCGTGACAGCCATCTTCGAATGATGCGAAAGACGTTGACTTCCACCGCAATATTTCCCACAAGCGAAAGGCTACACGAACGTTTAAATTAGCCAGCGACTATCTTTGCAAACAAAAAAAACCGCTCTGTCTTTCTGGAGATGAAAGATTAAGATATAAATAAAGATACATCTGTGCATGTGTCTTTTATCGTGTCGGAATACAATAAAAAGCTTGCAGTTATACAAATGAATGCCAGTCAGAAGGTTATACTCTGAAAACACCATTTATCTATGTACATACACATTAGAAAGCTCGTCATAGTGCCAAAGTCAGAATGGTGGTAAATAGATCTGTTTACAGAGCACACGATGAATCAGTACTCGTACTCACGTTACCGTAACAGCTGACCAGATCCGATCAACTTGATCTAACTCCAATAAAATAGATAAGAGAACCTTGCAATTTAAGCTACTTGGGTGAGACATACAGATATACAGTGCAAAGTGTTGCCTCGATGCCAAAGATATTTAGGACAGTTAATAGCAACCCACAGACCACAGAACGACTCCAAGTAAAGATGTTGCGAATGAACAGGTTGGCCAGCAGAAACCCGTTTGGCCGCTCTTGTGACTCACTGGCACTGCCCCTCCACTCCGATAAAGCAGCACTGCGCAGAGAAATGGGCTAATCACACAAACAGACAGACAAAGAGACAGACGAGCAGCAGAGTAAACTTCGTCGGTTGAAAATTGGACACATGTACCAGTGAAATGAAACCAAACAAAGGAAGTCGAATAATGCGGCTTAATTTAGCACAGAGAGACACGCGGAGAGTAGTGGATTGAAACAGAACTGCCTGCGTACCATCCAGAACTCTGTGTCGGAAGGTGTCAGGCAAGGCATCTCAATTTCAGCTCAGGTTTCTGCAGATTACTTCTTTAATGTTGTGTATGGCTGGGGGTCACCTCTTTGCGACAGGGAATGGCCCTCGTGCAGCAGTACCACATCCGGGGTTTTCAGCTTTGAAGACACTTTTAGAGTTCATTCTGCTATATTTCCACAGCGAGCTCAGCTCAGTGAGGCACAATGTAATTTGTTTTCCGCTCTTTTTTTTTAAATTTAGAGTCGGCCTCAGTGGCACGCATGAGGGAATGGACCAGGAGACGTGTGGGGCAAGCGCAAACGTTTCGGAAGCACTGAAACCCAAAACACGCCAAGCGCTATAAATATACATGCACTAGGGCTACCGCTGCCACCGGCTCGGCTCTAGCACGCCCTAGCATGCCCATCCATGTACCTGCCACGGGCCAGGGGCCAGGTCAGGGATGGTGCCACCACAGGCGGCCATGGAGAGTGTGTGTTCGGGTGTATTCTGCGGCTGCTGCGGAAGCGCATACAGATACACACATTTTTTTTTTGTGTGCTCTTCTTGGTTAACGCCGTGTGGATCGACCCACCACCCTTTCCAACAGAGGTTGCTTGGCCCAGAGCAATTAGTGCAGGGCTATAAATTAATTAAGTGTGTACTGCAGCTACTCCCATCCAGTGGGTGCCATACTTATTTGAATGGTGGGAGCCACCGTCTGGACATTCAGATAATTCCAACAAATTGAAATAAACAAGCTAAATTTTCAAGCCGTCACGGACGGAACACACTACTCACCAAATATGCGACAGTGGGCTGCTGCGTTCCGTGGATTAAGTCAATTAAGATAAATAGCTCTGGACGACGACGGCGATGATGATGATGCGTGCGTGATGCGACAAACAGCAACTACAGCTTGAGCAGCTTCCCAGTCCAAATTTCAGTCAATGGAGTCAGTCAATTTCCAGCTTCAAGTCCGCCTCCAGCTACGACTCCTCTCGTCTTTTGCACCCACAAACTATGTACGAGTTTATTCCGTTTAGGAGGCACAGGCACAGACAGGTTGACGGCTGACTGACGGCTAGTCCTAGGGCTAGCCCAAAAAGTTAATGTGCTGCAGAGGGTGACAAAAAGGGTAGCAGTATGAGTAAAGCGATCGCAAACAGCTCCCCGGTGGTGCCGGTGCACCCACTTCAGTGCGAAATAAAAACAATAAATTTTGACAATTTAACAATTGAATGCTCTTTGGCACATGCGTCGTTCCGCCACTCTTAAATATATACAAAAGTACACTTGATTTATATTTGCGTATAAAATTCCAATGAAGTTTCAACTAATAAAGGGGCAGAGTTTGTAACAGTAAAATCAAAACACCGATTCATTTTCCAGAAAAATCGTTTTGGGTCGTCGGCCCCAATCGCCCAACCCACGCTTCTGCGACAAGCCATCTCTGTGCAGCTTCCAATGGCTCTTTCCTGCCCTAATTGGAGTTCGAGTTCGCGTTGGAGTCGAATCAGTAGCTTACAGCCCCCATTACAGCAAAGTCACATTCATCTATGCACAGAGATTATTTCAACCTTATGCACTTCATATGTGCATACAAACAAACATATGTTTTTATGTATGCAAGTATCACTGCACTTTGAGTCTCTTTTTCTGCAGAGCAACTGCAGCGCCGCGCACCCCGCCCATCACTTGATTATTTCCACTTCCACGGCTCCTGCTCTGCTCTTTTTTTGAGGCATTCTTTTCGACGTTTTCGTTCACACACTCACACAATGGTCTAGTTTTCGACTCCGTGCCATTTCTCTGTTTGTGTTTCGAGCACAACAGTTCAATCTATTTCATCAATTAACCGAGCATTCACTTATTTTTCACCTTTTTAAATTTTTCCATTAAAATTTCCAACGCTGGTTAATTTCTTATTATCGATGTTTTCCTATCCCTAGTTTTCAGCGGAACTATCGATAAAGTATACCAGAATATTCCTTCTCATTTTAAAAATATACCGTTGTCTTAATCATTTTCCTCTATTTTGATGTTCCATTTGATTTTACTTGCTTGCAAATACTTTCAACACTGAAACAGTAAGTTCATCCGTTTGAAGAATCAATTTTGTTTATTATTAATACTATTTTTTATTGGATTGCATACCTTACGACCTTATATTTTACAAATTTGTATTTGAATTTTTCATCCAAATCACCCTTTCTGGAAGCAATGGATCTTAGTGTTCAGTATGTAATTGTATGTAACATGTAGAAACATGTTATATCTGATATAACTGATCTGATATCATTGAAAATGTTTGAAAAATAGCTCGTGCAACAAAGGAGGAAAAGAAATTATATTGTTTCCCTGAAAATTGCTGAAAGGAAACATAAGTAAATATTATAATAAGCTCGGAGTGGTTTGGGAGGCAGTTCTTCCATCTTTACAACATAATTGGGGCTAGACTCTGGTTTATACATTGAAATTACTACTATCTTGTGCTAAGGAACATCGGATAATGATGAAAAATTTGCATTATCATCAACCAACATAAAAAGCCCACGTTACGTGAGTGCCTCGAAACTAGGTTTGCTAGCAAACAGTTTGCTAGCGAAAGAGTGTGACCAGAGGTGAAAACCTCATTCCGTACGATTACACTTCTCAGGAAGCCGTTACCTTTTTGAAAATGGGTGAAATTTGAATAAAAGATTAATAAAACAATGAATGCAAAACGGATCCATGCAGGAGATTGCTTTTGGCGGCTCTTGCATTAGCGGAGGAGGAGGACAATCAACGTAATAAGCGCCGACATCTTTGATTAAACCCATATCTGCAGGAAAGAAACCAGGACATATGCCTGGGAATAACATTCTGCAGCCTTCTTTGATTGGTGGAGCAGCAAGGCCGTGAGACGTCGCCCCCAGGCACCCTTCATATCCAAAATTGTATAGTTTCGAGTCCAAATCGTCGCCTTCGCCTCTCCTCGGCACGACTCTGAGGAGCAGTACTTGTGCTCAAGCTCCTTGAGAAGCACAGTGGTCATTTATCTTTCAACTTTAGCGGCATTTTTGCCTCCATTTTATTGAGACATTACTCTCTGTTTGCTAGGTACCCTCGGGGAATATAAAACATAGAAACATACCATCGAATAAGCTCTGGTTTGGCTATATCGAAAAATGTAACAATATGTCGTTAGCATCCTCCTATTTTGAAAATAGAATTTATGCTTTACTATACCTTTTGTAAGACTTTTGTAATTTTTTTTTTATCCGCTACTATAAACCATATTTTAATACGAATGAAGCTAATTCTAGCCATTTCAAATAGCGATTACACATTTTCGATGCGAATGACACAAATATGTATCGTGTCGATACATTTACGATAGACGAAAAAACCATCTCTAAAACCCGCTTAAATTTTAAATAAGCTTTATCGAAAACTGAGCAAGTGCACCCTTTAGAATGAAGAAACGCATTAATCTCATTGTAAAATCGGTATATTATCAGTGAGTTGGAGTGAAATGAATGCCAACTGGACGATTAGTCCCTCTTATGCTTGCTGGGCGCTGGTGCCTCGCTTACCACAGTCATTTCAGCTACTGGCCCCCCCTGCGTAGGTGCCGTGTCCTCTGGAGCATCGCCCCCTTTGCTCCTGACGCGCTTTGCCTTTTTCTGCCCTTTCCCTTTCACTTTACACGGAGCGCACTGGCAGTCTGGATCGTGTTCGAGGCCACACCTAGGCGGCACGTGTGGCACATAAGGGGCACCTGTGCAAATAGGACATCTGTTGGAAGAGTAAGGAACAGTTGAGCGAAACTAAATTCCAAATTTTGTTGCCATTGCAGACTTACCCTCCCGCAATGGGGCCTACGGCTGCAGCCGTAGCGGCGGGATAGATTTTGAGGTAAAGGCACATCAGGCGATGGCAGACAAAGAGAGCCGGCAAGAGGAGCAGGGCGCAGAGCAGTATACCCAACCAGAAGCCGTTCTGCAATAAGAATAGGCCTCAAACATAGAGCATTTCAGGTGCTAGAGCTGTACTCACAATTGGATCCACCAGACGGGTACAAACAAAGTAAACGCCTTCGTAGTAAATGTAGGCAAGGGGCTGACAGAGGCCGACATTGTAGTTTGCCTCCGTGATAACCATCTCGAGATACTCCTCCACCTGTTCGTTGATGGCACTGGTGAGATTCTGGCCCAGATTGTTGATATACTCGGCGCCTCGCTTTTTGACAAACGCCTCCGCCTTGATTATAGCCTCGAGCAGTACTCCAATGGAGTTGCTGAAGTCGTGGTTCAGATAAAGAATCATCGAATCAATTTCCTTCACAACTTTCAACGCTTTCTTAATGCCGCGTTGCACGGGGAGGAAAAATGACTTGTGGTAGGCCAGGGCACTGTATTTGTGCAGATAACTGAACGATCGGCCATCATCCTTCAAGACTGCTTTATTCGTTGCCCATTCGTGCAGGACATTATTGGCCAAGAACTCTAAATCGATGTTCAATAATCGCAGGCACATGTTCGAGTCGTACAGCAGGCTGTGGTAGGACGAGAGATTGCTATTGCGCACCTCATTTATTTGGAGCTTCTCTTCTTTCGTCAAGATGTCCAGATTTGACAAGTCCTCGGTGAAAATTGGCACACTCTCCGCTTCGTCGGGCAGCAACTTCACGTTGGCCAAGTCGTTGACATCATAGATATTATTTGCACGCAGCAGCTGGAATATGGACTCATTGGCATGGCAGGACCTGACTGCCTCCGACATGTGCATCGGCGGCATCACAAACCTGTCGCCCTCAGTCTCTGGCTTCAGGTAACGATTCATATCGATGACGGCATCCAGTTGCCGGAAAAGTTCATTCTTCTCCGCTTGTGTGGTCGGTGCACAGGCGCCCTCGTATGTAACCAGTCCAATCATGAAGTAGAACAGTCCGACCATCGCGATGAACGAGAATACACAGAACATCAGGATGATGGCTCTGTAAAACGGGGTGAATGAAAATCTATCAACACCTGCAGACATCAGACTCACATCAGCAGGCATGAGGCAGCCATGCCCTTGCTGCAAAATCCACTTGGTCCAGGATGAGTCCGACTATAACCACCGACGCCGCATACCAAAGCCGTGAACAGGATAACAATTATCTAAGGCGAAGCAAGCATTTGAGTACCGACAACATCTGCTAGATCTGGCATACTTACTATAAAGAGCAATGTGAGACATATGATATTGATGGTCTTGCGATCTGCACCAAACTTTTCATAGACATCGTCGAATGTCTTTGCGGATCGTAAGGTGTTCAAGTGTATATCACTGATCATTGCGTCGATCATGTTGCGTATACTTAAGGCGTGATCGTCGAAGGTTGCATGCCCAGTGGCAATGTATCGTTTGAGCGGCGGACCCACGTGTTTCATCTGCTCCGCGATCTTGTCGCGAATCGCGTTAAATCGAACCAAGCCCCTCTTCGGTATTAGGTTGTATCTCTTCTTGATAATCATCTCCATGGCTTCCACATAGACTGTGGTGTTTGGCACCTACAACAAGAGTTACGCAGATGAACGAGGAGATGCAAACAATCTAAATACCTCGTCCAAGTGCAGGCATGTTGATGTGTCAATATATAGAACGCTATGCTCTATCATGGTTTCATGACAACGCTTCTTGGTATTGCCACAAAAATGGGTTATGGTGTAGGTCATGTCTCGTTTTAGGCCTCGCACCGCTGACAAGGAGAGGAAGGTTAAGAAGGGTCAAGAGCTAATTGTCATAGTTACAGTCTCGGAGTTGTGAGGTGTAGAAGCGCAGCTCCTTCTCCAGATAATCCAATTGCTTCATCTTTGGCAGTGCATCCTGAATATTGTCCAGTATGCGCTCCAGTTCCATCAAAGCATTACCATCCGAGGCATCAGCCATGTCCAGGAAGATGTGATTATGCGCGTCTACACAATGGCATTAAATAATTTCCCCTAATTATACGTAAAACCTACCTACCGTTTATCTGCTCAACGAGATGCGTCTCCAGTTCCTGAAAGTTGAACACCAACAGATGGTGGACATGGTCGGCGATATTCGTCAAAAAGGTACAAGTATCCTCGCTGCTGCGTCGCATTGTCACTCTCGACTGCTCCAATCCACGATCCAAGAATTTGTTCGTCACAAACGCAATGGCGAGGCCGACGCTGTGAATAATCGTAAACGAATATTTACCATATTGGATTGCCAATGCTGACAGGACTCACATCATTCCAATAATAATCACAAAGAGGCAAAATCCGCAACACAGGCGCCGCCTGCGGTCCGTCGCAGCCATGCACTTGACACAGCCCTGCTTGCATCGTAGACAGCAGCAGAAGCAGCAATAACAGACACTGCCACAAATAGCAAATAGAAAATAATGTTTATGGGTGTTCCCCTCCCCCAACTTACGCAATGAATGGTATGGAAATGATCGCAGACAAGATGAATATCACAAAGAAAAGCACCAGCCAGTAACGACTCATCAGCAGTGACCACTCGTTCCGCTCCACATTACGTCCAAGTACCAAAACGTTCTCCTTCATCACACCAACGTAGCCTGCAGAATGCCAAACGAGTTGGAGTCAACCGAAGTCAACCTAGGCAACTACAACGAAACTCACCGGGCGGCAGGGCAGGCTCATCGGTCATCACCGCGTCAAAGATATAGTGCGTGAAATTGTAAATGGGAGTCACGGCTTTTGTGGTCGATGTCGGATCGTGCGAATAGTTCAAGAACGCATTGAATTTGGTGTAGGTCACGGGAGGAAAGTGCGCCTGTCCCACCTGCTCGTGCGTTGTGCCGTGTCCCTCGTAGCCCACGCGCCAATAATCCGCAGGAATATCCGATCCCGAACCCGAGCTATTTCCACCTTTGCCTGCATCCTCGGCGCCAACGGTGGCGCCAACGAATGATATTATGATTAAGGAGAGCAAGGCCAAGCGGAGCTTTCTTCGTCCTTTTTCCGAGACTTTTCTCTGGCATATTCCACAGCCGCCTGTCCCGGTGTCGCTGGAACTCATCTTTCAAACAATTTTGGTTGCTGTGTAGACCCGCGTGTGAAGAGACTAATGTACATAAGTGTAAGGATGAATGCTTGTTATGTGTCGAGTAAAGCCTTAACTAATGTTTATAAGTGTATATTTAATATTCTTATATAACATATAAAACAAAGCCACAGTTGGCATCCCCCTAATGTGTGGAAAAGATATGGTATTCAATGGTATAAGCGCTTCATCAAACAGTTTTCGTTTATTTTGGTTTTCGTTTAAAACACTAAATTACATGTTAAATAATTTACAATCAAAATGTGGATTATCCTTCTCCTACATACAAACTCTGTCTGTCTGTTGTCCTACCCGTACTTATACATTATTCAGAGCAGCATTCAGCATTCGATCCTTAGGTCGGGGAGGAGCACCTTACACTGTTTTTGCAGCACACTTTGAAAAATATATAATCTTGATTTTCTAAAGTACTCTGTACATACACACGCACATTCCACACACGGGGGATTCGATTGGTTTTTGGGCACGCCTCAAGCATCATTGAAACATTTTCGTTTTGTTTTTCGTACTGGCTTTATCAATATAAATAAAAAACTACACCTGTGATTTACGCACGATTAGAGGCATGCACGACGCTAACAGCTAACATTATGATTTGTGTCCAATACCCACTTCTCATCTATACATTTATATCCCCCGGTACTCAGCTTCTATATAGGTAGTAGACTGCTGACTCTGTTGAAACTAGGATTAGTTTCGCTTTTATTTTTAGAGTTTAGTTCACTTTAGATCACTACAATTTGCAAAGTAAAGCTTAGTATTCAGTTTATTTGGATGTTTCCTCTTCCTAATTGTTTTGTTTTTATTTTGTTTGTAACTAAAAAGTAGGTTGTTGGGGCTTGTGGCTGTTTTTGCTGAATTATTGTGCTGAATTTTTGCATTTCGCAGAAGATTTTTACGAATTTACAATTACTTTGTTTTAATTATTTGGCAGTTTCTGTTGTTGCTCCAACACTCGTCTGCTGTATTGTGGTGTAGTTCCCAGCCGAAAGGGAATTCCCCCAGCACTGAGCCACAAAACAAACGACAAACTGAACTGATCCTAAAAGCTGCGGGTGTGGGGTTGATGATAACTCTTACCTATGCATTATAAAGTGCCCGGGCTAAGATAGAAACTAACAGAAGGTAACTTGAATGGGAAAGTCTCAGGCGGCAAGGCAATAGCAGCATGATCATTCGGCATCGACGCAGAGACTCTCTCTCTCTCTCCATAGAACTTAACCATAGTGTGTGTTTGTGTGGGGGTGGGGGAGGACTAACTAAAGCCAAACTAGTTACAGCATTCGTTACAATTACAAAATTGATTAAAGTTAATTCTTAAATACTCTGCTTATACGTATTTTTAGACACCAGCTGCGGTTGTTGCGGTTTTTCTGTGTGTTGTTGTGTGGATTGTGGATAGGACGACTACAGCTGCGCCAGCGAATCGGAGCGTATGAGCGGCGCCAGGGAGCTTGGTGCCTTGTGGCCAGTTTCGATCTCATACTGCACATCGAGCGAGGCGCCTGCGAAAAGATTTAAAACATGAATAATCAAGAGATTCCAATCCGCACTATGAAGTTCATTTATTATTAAATCATTATTTTTGCCGCGAGTCTTGATTCTGCTTCTATCTTGCTGTGGCTGGACTCTTGGTTTCCTTACGTTTCTTCTCCAATGCGGGATTCTGGCCCTCGGGTATGAACGCTGACACGACTATAGCACACACGACGCACAGGGCGCCAAACAAGAATGGCGGCCCTGGCACATGATGCGATATCTTCTCCACATTCGTCTCGCGACTGCTGTCACTGCTCTTAGCATAGTTTTCGTGATCAACGTTCAGATCCACATTGAATAGATAGAAGATAACGCCAAACACAGCAGGTCCCAGGCCATTGCACAGGCCACGCATGCCCGTGATCATTCCCTGAACAGCACCTAAATGGGAGAACACATGTGTCAAAAGAATCCTCCAAGTGGAAACGTTCCAATACTTACCCTGACTCTCGGGTGACGCATACAGCGATACGAATGCACTGATTGCAGGATAGGTGATGGATCCCAAGGCAGCCACAACGCCTGCCGACCACATCATCCTGCAAAAACAATATTGGATAATCACACTACATTCGGCTACATCTCTCTTGACGTCCACTTACCACTTCTGACTGCCAAATCCGTACCACAGCAGCTGCACAATTTCCAGAGCCAGACCCACAATGATCGTGCGCTTGGCACCAAACACTCTGAAAGACACAAATGAGAATGAGCAATGAGGATGCAGAGAGATTGCGGAGACCTACTTCATAAAGGAGCCCAGAGTCACTTGCACTGTGATGCTGAGGATGCCAACGATGGCTATGAAGACGGATACCTCCACATAGTCAAAGCCCATCTTAAGTTTCAGATAGACAAACATGCAGGAGTACTCCCCAGCCTCGGGCAGATAGGAGAGCAGCACAGTGAGGCAGAGCATCAGGACGGTCTTGTCCGTGCCGACCTTTCGCAAAGCCTGCAAAATAAAGTAATTTAATCGCTTTAAATTTCCTGGTTGGACTCCTGACTCACCTTAAATGGATCTGCCTGCTCCCAGCTGATGGGTGCACCCCAGGTGGATGGACGCACCTTCTCCGAGAGACTCTCCGGCACAGCGACCAGTATGAAGAACACATCCAGCAGCGCTATGGCCGTGGATAGAGCCACCACAAGCGTGTCGCCATACATGTCCATTAGGGCATTGCCCAATGCGGGAGAGATGACTAGACTAGCAGCAAAGGTGGCCGAGGCAAGACCATAGGCCCTGGAACGTTCCTCCGGCGTGGTCACATCGGCAACGTAGGCAAATACCACCGAAAAGGTGACGGCAAAGGCCCCACTTATTGAGATCATGGCAAAGAACCACCAGGTGTTGATAGACATCAGCGGTATGGGAAGGCAGGTGAAGAATACTGTCACTAATAGGAAAAACTTTCGACCCCAAATGTCGGAAAGAGCGCCAATCAGTGGCGCTGCCAGGAACGACAGGATGCCCTTGATGCCCATGACCAGGCCATTCATGAGGAACGTATGATCCGGGAATGTCCGGTTCAGTGTCTGCAAAAAAAAAAAGAGGAGTAAATAAAAGATGCACACACACACGGAGTCCACACTCTGCTTACCGATATTATGGGCATCGTTAGGAGTCCCCATGCAAAGAACTCTAGAAATATCACAATCAGCGCATGATGAACACTCGGCTCGCCTATTCCGGAACTCTACGGATAGAAAGATTAAGTTGAATCATTAGTACACGGCTAAGGGGGAGTCTTAATTGTAGAATGTCGCCACATGGTGGCAGATGTGTAAATGGTAAATGGAAGCTGCGTCATCAACTATTGCACGAGCAACCGTGTGGCAACCCCACCTCACCCCACGCGACAGCACCCGTCAATTGGTCACTGCCATGCGGGTGACTGAAAATAAATTGCACTAAATTCGAAATTGTTTTCGTTTGTGTTAGGCAGAGCACCCCCAGCGTCTCTTCGGTCTCTAACCGATTTGTTGTGTCGCTCATCAATAAATAAAATAATATAAAAACAACAAAAACCAAGAGCCAGAAATCAGCGATGGAAAATTCCATTCAACATCCGATTTCTGATGATGAAAGACACTGGGAACACAGGGGAACAACCAACCTTGTAGCAGCATACGTTGCACGCATAGCGTATCCAGCGACTGCATCGATTCCGTTTGCCCCGCTCCAATGGCGGATCTGCGCCTGGAGCCAGCGACCGCATGGAAATGTAGGAGGCGGCCGAGTGGGTGCGTCGATGCGCGCTGCCCGACACACCGCCTCCGCCCCCGCCATGCCGGGAAGAGCTGGCCAGTGACGATGCGGTGATTGCTGTCTCCACAAAATTGCTGGGATGAGCCGCGTAGCGCGATGACTGCAGGAGAGAGGCGGCATTAGAGTCGTCGATGTGGCCAGGATGAATGTGTTGCCCGCTCTCGCTTACCGTGGGCACATTGTCCAGATCCGGCTGATTGATCCCGCTGCTCGGCGTCGTGCTGGTGCTCGTGCTTGTGGTGGTGGCTATGGAGGCCGATCGGTTGTCCGCATGAAGCCGCTTGAGCGGTGAATGTCGCTTGTTCAATTGCCCGCGTCCGCAGATGGGCGGCGACAGCGGCAGTGAGCTGACGGTCTCCCCATCTCCCTCGTCAGCCACATCTGCTGTTGTGGGCGTGGAGCTGTTGCTGTCCGTGCTCTGTGTGTCCGTCTGCTCGCCCGATTCTGGCTCGGGCTCTGGCCTAATATGCGTGCAGATCACTCGCCCGCTAGCCAAGCTGACAGGTTGCGCCTCCAGCTGCAGCTCCGGCTCCGTCTCCGTTCCCGACTCCTGCTCTGTCTCGGAATCTGCATCCAGCTCTGGCTCCAGGTTCGCAGGCTCCTGCTCCGCCTGCTCCTGCTCTTTATTTTGCCGTTGGGCGTTACACCGCCCGTTACGCATTGTCTCCTTTCGCTCAGTGGCCAGTGGGCCGACGTCTAATATTTTCAATCGGTATTGTCCTGGTCACACTAAATTCCATTGCCGTGGGGTTCGCATGTGCCGGGAAGTGTACGGGGATCACAGTTGTTGCTGTTATTGGTTTTTTTTTGTTTCCTTGGAAGCGTTGTTGCCACCTGTTCAGTTGAGTCACCTCTACGTGGCCTCCTCTTCGTTTGCTCTTCTGCTCTGTCTTATCTTATCATCTGTTTGGCTTAGATGAATATATTTCCGCCACTTTTACTTGGGAGTGTACGTAGCCTGGAGCTCTATGGATTTTCACGCACTTTTCTGGCTGTAATTACAGTTTTCCAACGTTCACTCATTTGTCGTCGAGCGATTTTGTTTCAGCTCTGAGGCGGCACCTCCATGTCTCTCGAATTTCCATTGTGACACTGCGGCATTGCCCATCCTCAGCCTTGCGGGTGGGTGGTGGCCGGTCTTCGTCACTGGCCCCATCCATGCCTGCCTGCCAAATGGCGCTAAAAAGCTTGGACTAAATGCTGAACAATACTGCCTTTTAGCACTGGCACGCGAA